GCACCAGAGCTCTCTAACAGAGAAGGCTGAATGTCTCACAAAACTACAATCCCCAGAATTCTCTAGCATGGAGCCATGGCAGTTAAAGTGGTGACAAACTGGATTATGTCTGCAGTGCGGATGCAGCCTCAGTAAAGAAAATGCAGGTTTGAAAGTTGCAGGAATTAGCAGGTTTGATTATATTTTAAAATAGATGTTGTATGAACTGGAAGGATTAAGAAGGTTGCCATTGATTTAATGATTCTGGACTGCATCTGTTATGCATTTCTCGCTGACACAAATTGGTGTTTCTGGGTAAATTACAGTGTAAACTGGTATACATTCTGCAATTCTCATATTAGCAAGATTGCAGCAGCAGAAATTGTTGGTGGTTTGGAGAGAAGGGGGGAAAGTATTTTCTGTTTTTCTAAGTTTAGTTAGTGTGCACTTAGAATTTTAGTTTTCCAAGTTCTTACTTGATTACAAAAGTGATGCTAAATATGTGTGAATAGAGCATTGTGATGAGTGGTATACATAGAGAGAGGAAGGCCTAAAGGCACCAGATCGCTTTTGATCTTGGAAGCCAAGCAGAGTCAGCCCTGGTTAGTACTTGGATAGGAGAAGGTCAGTGAATACTAGGTGCTAGTAGGATGTATTTTAGAGGAAGGAATTGGCAAAACCATCTCAGTATTCCTTGCCTAAGAAAACTCTATGAAATTCATGGGATCGCCATAACTCAAAAGGCTACTTGAAAGCACATACAGGTACATACACATATGTAGAGGGACAGTTTGCATCTTATTAATTTGGCATACAAATAAACAAGCCAGTGTACATGAAACTTTTGCATCCTTCTGCATACGAAGGTACATCATCATTTCCTGGGATCTAGAACTGGGAACTAGGAGTTGGAATGGGGAGCAGTTTTTGCCTTTATTGCTTTCCCAAGTGCAGTTCTTTGGTTTTTCTTGATGCAAGTAACAAACAGTTGTATTGGAGAAAGTAGAGACACAGGTGGATACACCATTGGAGTGAAAGATGACACACCATTGGAGTGAATCTCATGTCCCTTGTCATGTGTCACAAAGAACTAAGCCTGCTCCCATCTGAAACCTGTCTTGTGTTCTGTTTTAAATCTTGGTTATGTGTGGTTAGTACACTGTGTTCTCTGGGACTTTGTAGTTGTTGCTGTGTGATTTCACATCATTTCTGACTTATGGCAATCCTGAGGTGAACCTATCATGGGTTTTCTTGTCAAGATTTTTTAAAGAGGTGGTTTGCCATTGCCTTCCCCTGAAGTTGAGAACATGTGTCTTGCCCAAAGTCATCCAGTGGGTTTCATGGCCAAGCTAGGAATTGAACCCTGGTCTCCAGAGTTGTAGTCCAACACTCAAACCACTACACCATGCTGGCTGTCTCTCTAGGACTTACTTTTAAGTAATTGTACACAAAATGTGTGTGTTTCATGCAAGAGTGTTGATAGTCTGTGTTGGGCTGGGAGAGGATTTGAGGAACTGCCTTACCCAAACTTTAATTGGAGAAATTGATTTCACATACCATCTTATTTATTTGGCATACATTTTTGTCAGAATCCATGGCATGGATTCTGCCATGATTGGTGTGGTTTATTGGCAAGAATGTATGTATGGAATTTTGAAGTGTATTAAATACTGAAATGTATGCATGATTCATGTATGGGCTCTGGGTAGAGGAAATAGGTGGAGTGGGCAAATGGCAGGGGGCAAATGTTAAGCAGATGTTAAGCAAATGTTAAGCAGAGTGAAGGGGTTTATGGTCTTATGACTCTGTCCTTTCTGCAGCAATCCTGGGATGTAGAGGAAGAAGGGACTATTGGAATTTGCTTTAATTAGGATCAAAGGCTGGGAACCAACAGCCAGGAAGAGGGGGACTGAATAGTTTGTATTCTAATACTATGGGAGGGGAAAGGGACCATCAGTCACGAAAAAGAACCTTAACTGGTAATTTCTGTCCTGATGTCTGAAATAAAAGTTGTTTGTTTTTAATCACAACAAGATGGTTTTTCTGTCCATTGGGAACCGACTTCATTGGTTCTGACAATTTTACAATATTGCCAATATGTGAATATCTGTTTGATTACTAGAACTATAATATTACTTGTAAATTTTTGCCAGGCTAAATTTTTGACACCAGAAAAATCTGAACCAGTATATTTGTTTGTATTGTAGTCTCACTGAATGATATTCTGCAGGAATCACTGCTAGGAAACTGTGGGCTGATGCAGACGGCCCATTTGGGGTGGCAGAGAGCTGCCCTGGGAAGCGGCGGATCGGGGCTGCAGCAACCCCACACCATGGCCCCGATCCTTCCTTTTGCCGCCCCTAAAAGAGTGGCAAAGTGCCGCTCCTTTTAGGGGCGGCAAAAGGCCGCCCTAAGAGCTAGCATCGCAGCTCTTCTGCGCCCTTTTGGCGCAGTGTGTCAGCATGCTGCACCGGAAGGATGTCCTGATGCCACATGTCATGAGTACAGCCGCGGGGCATCAGGAAGGCGTTGGGGTGGGGTTGGGGTGGCTGGCGTGTGGCTGCCTCACCCCAATAATACCCTCAGGCTGACCCTTTGAGCTGGTCTGCAGTGGCCCTATGTTTGGTTTATAACGTGGGTAGCATGTTGAGTTAGGTGGTTTTAGGGGTTAATTATGGACTGGTAATTACATGATGAGTTGTGATCTTTTCAGAGCATTTATCTCATGTCCATTCAGCTTGGCAACTACGTTTTATTCTACTGCCATTAACAAAAAAATAAAAATAAAAATAAATTAGACATTAGACCACATCCCTTGACTGATGAGAACAACAGGAGCCTCTGACTGTAGGGGTGACTAATCTTGTTAAGTTATGTCACTACATTTTTGATCACTGTTGTCTTCTGTAATTATTTTAGCTGTATGCCGTGAGGACTTTTGTGTGTGTGTGAATGAGAGAAGAAGGACATTTCAACTTAGACTGAAATTGGGAAGGAACATCATAAGCTGTATTAATAATAGAAAATATTCACTTACAAGATGATCTGTTTTAGAAAAAGGACCATTAACGTCTTGCCTTTCAGCAGCACATACCATATACTATCGCAGAAGAAAGGAACACTGCTGATCATATACCCAAGAACAGCTTACAAATGAAAGCAGTTTATTCCAACCACTGTTCATTAAATTATGAAGGTGGAAAAAAATAAATAAAAATAATATTAGAATTATTTGAAGTCTCTTTCAGCAATTTGGTTTGTAACCTTAGCAAAAATAAGCAAGATATATTTGACACTAATTCCCTTTTGGTTTCATTTGAGCAAGCTTGTTTGGCTTTATATCTTTGGAAGTTTTAATTAATTGCCATAAAAGTTTATCATTATCTTGATATATTAATCTTAATAATAGTAAGTCACCTTTACTTTTCCTTAACCAGAAATGTCTGTTTCCATAAGCATATACAACATGCTTGATATCTTTTAATCTTAATTGGTTATATCAAGCCCCTAAAGTTTTTTGTAATACTGACTGCAAGATAGGACACTGAGCCAACTATAGTAACCAAGTGTTGTCTAAAAGTAGTGTGATAAACACTTCAAAATACTGATGGGGAAAATGTTCAGCTTTTTCCTACAGATTACAGAGTAATGTAAAATAGTTGATATAGTTCATTCTTGATATGTCACACAAATATGCCTTAAGTGCCTTTTAGGGGTTGGGGACATGGGAAGCTGATTTTGTTCAATGGGATGTAAGTGAATAGTTTTCATACGGTATTACATAATTCTCCTGCAGTAGTCAGAATTATTTTAGGTGCTTTTCTGTATTGATTGCTGGTGGGTTTTTTGTTTTTGTTTTTTTTAGTTCTTGGCAAAGCTGCCAACGGAAGAGCAAATAATAAAGGGAGCAGTGTACTAATCTAGGGCATAAGCAGACAGGTAGGTACAGCCAAGCTTGTGCTATTCTGCCTCTGGTTCTAACCCGTGCTAGCCCCAGGCTGGCGCGGCAACAGGTTGTTTTATATACACCTGCCTACTGTGATGCCATGTAGCCATTGTCATCACACGCCCCTTACCTGCCTCTGTTGTTGTGTCTTCTCAGAAAACCCCCATCATTCCTGTAAGGGTGGAAACGGGGCACCTGGCTACACCCACGCAGTAAGGAGCCCCCATCCGACTTCACAGGCCATGATGGGAATCCTCTGAGAAGTTGCAATGGCAGAGGCAATGTCCCATGAGTACAGGTGTGTACTATTATGAGTAGTGAGAAACATTAGAACAGCACTATGCCTGCTCTGAAGTGGAGATACTGTATTTCTTTTGCAAAGAGTCTATAGGAAATGATAGTAAAGAGGGAATCTATTTTGACTGAAATTATTCCAAATCTGACTTCAGCAAAATTCTTTTTCTAGAATGGTATGGCTGAATTTGTCAGTGACACTGAGTTAAAAGGAACCACAGAATGAGAAGGGTTGCACTTATGTGTTTATGTGAATAATTGGGGAATTCTAGCGGTTGTGTGCAGGATTGCAAGTAAGATCTGTATCTGAAATAAGATCACCTTATTTCATTGATTCAGAAGTCAATGCATCTTCTCTGCTCCTATGGTCAGACAGGAGCTCTAAATCTGCTTCACCCCTTGCCTGATGTTGATTCCACAAATGGAGATGCTACTGCCATAGGACGAAGAAAACATATAGGTTCCTTCTCTATATTATCCTGGGATCATGGAAGCTCTCCATGCTCTGGAGTTAACATAAAATACCTCCCATAAGGCATGCTCCTTTTCGTCATTATCCTGTGTGGAGAATTATGCTCCAGAGTCCTCTGTGTGTTTGCAAAGCACCCCAGAGTCAGACAAAATAGCATGCAAAAAGATTGTGCATCACTTCCAGCCAGTCACCTTTTCCATGTGGAAAAAAAAAGTGCAGCAAGTAGGTTCCGGAATATATCTCAGAGGTTTTATTGCTCTTAGCTGCCTCTCCCTCTCTCACAAAAAACAAAACAATGATTTGGATGAAGGAATAGGGGGCATGCATACCAAAATTGCAGATGACACCAAAGTAGGAGAAATAGCTAATACCTCAGAAGACAGGATGGAAATTCAAAATGACTTTAATAGATTAGAAAGCT